CATGCGCCACCCTGTCATCTCTGGTACATAAAAACCCAGACAGAAATTTCAACTGATGATGGGGAAGGAGTGAGAAGCCAATCAGCTTCTATGCTCCTCTGGCTAGCCAATGAGACACCAAGACTTCTTGCAAAAGAAGGGGTCCTCCTTGTGTTCCTCAATATATGGTTCCCTTCAGGATTTTATTCAGGGCTGTTCCACACCTGAAGGCCAAACAATTCCCTTACCCAGCAAGCCAGATGTATAGCAACACATCCCCTATCACAGCATAGACCAAAACTGTACAACAAGGAAGAGCCAAAAAGTTAGCACAAACTCTGGGTAATCCAAGTGATTTTGAATTGGAGCCCAACATAACAAGAGGTGAGGGTTCTTTGTGACAGCTTTTTGGGAGCAATTTAAGCGGGACAATCCAATAAACAGAGAAAGAAACTGGGAGATATGCCATATTTACCCGAATCCAAGACAAGTCTGAATTTGAGACAAGCCCACAAACATTCTATCCTATACATGGAAAATGACCGTAGGGTAAACTGGGGGGGAGGGGGTGAAGGGACACAGGCAGTAGCTGCAGCTCTGACTCTGACCCCGATCCCTGGTCAGGACTGGAGTCTGAGCCAGAGTCAAAGGGCCCACCCTTCCACCTTGTACTTTAATCCAAGATGAGGGACTTCCCCACCCTGTTAAATGGGGAAGGTGTATCTTGGATTTCAATAGATACAGTACTTAGTTGCAATATAACAGAAGCAAAATATATCAGAAATGAACCCTTATCTATTATACATTTTCTGCACCATCACAGCTAAAACAGCACTCTAAGCCAGTCTTGAAAAGAATATTATTTTGGAAGGGAAGATGAGAAATAAGGTAAATATAGTTCTTCTCTTTGAAAACAAAGGGAATTTGACAGTTCTAACTAAAATACTGGAGACTTGCATAGGTTGAGAGAAGAGATTAAGACTAGAATCAAGATTTGAACAGCACATGAAATGAAGACACAGATCTGTTTATGAGCATACCAATAAAGAGTTATAAAGAAACAGACTGTTAGGCAAGAGGAGTTCAAAGGACAAAGAGGACAAGTTTCAACTCTAGATGAATATTAAGATTCTCATTACCTGCCATATTCACAGTTTCATAGTCTTCCTTTGAAGAGACTTTAAAATTAACTCTGCTTGTGGCCAGCACTGGAATAGAGAGTTTTGCAGGGATTTCAAAGTATTCTGGCATGTTCACTTCTATACTGTAGTCCACAGATTTTAATTTTTGGGAGTATGCAAGAGGCCTATTCAGTGCATCTCTCTGCAAGTAAAGCAACAATGTACATGTTTGTACAATGAGTAACCGTAATTAAAAACAAAACAACACAAAAAAAAATTAATTCTATTTAGACACAAGTTAAAGAGAAATAAGGTATAAAATTACTCTATTTACCAGAATCCAAGATGACTTCAAATTTAAGACTACCCTCCAATAATTAGATACATGGAAAATTATAAATTTGTTAAAGTTATAAAAAAATTCTCCCTAGCTGGGCCAAGCAGAGGCCACCACCACTGCTGACTATCCTGGGTGATTCTAGCTCCAAAAAGGTAAGTAGCAGGGGAGGGCCACGTATGGAATCTAATTATTGGGAGGTTGATCTTAAATTTGAACCCACAAAAGTTGTGGCAGGGGCAAGGGACCAGAACTCCTGCTCCTTGCCCCCTGCCTACACTGTCTGTTTCCCCTGCCATCTTTTCCCCCTGAAAGTTGCCCTGCTGGTGCCTGTTCCACTGCCTTTTTCCTCCCTCCCCTTACCTCCCCCACCACTTACCTTCTGGAAAGCTCTTGCTCCAGGGCAGTCAGCAGCAGTGGTCACCCTGGCCTGGACCAGCTAGGGAGAAGCAGCAGTGGCCAGGCTGGATCAAGACCAGAGAGGTTGGAACCAGAGCTGGAGATGAAGGTAAGCAGTTGGGGGAAGCAGTGATCAGAATGGGGCAGGCAAGTTGCAGTCTCTGACAATACTTCCCCCAACACTTCCTTCAAGTCACACACTGTGGATCTCTACCACACGCTCCCTCCCTCACTGCACTAGATGTTCCAGCCTGGGGCAGGTGGAAACTCAGCTCCAGCTTTAACTCAGCTCTGGCTTCAGCTCCTACTCAGAGTCATCACCTGCACTGGGCCAGTACTTGAATCTAAGATGAGATTTTGTTCCTCCATGGTGACTGGGGGGTGGGGAGGGGAATGACTTCATCTTGCATTAGAGTAAATATAGAACGTAGGTGAAATAGGTAGGTAGCATACTGGTACAGTATCATTCACACTTATTACAGAGACTCATACACTTAAGACAGTGCTGTACATGAGTGAACCAATTATAGAAATAGAGATATGATGCATCTGGAAACTCTTCCAATGAAAAATGAATTGTGGAGAGGAGGGAGAAGCAATCTACTGCCATGTGACTGAAAGTCTACTAATGCTGCTCAGGGAAAAAATACACATCTCAGGAAAAATAAGAAAGAAAGGAAAAAAACAGCTGATTTGAAATAGTAGTGTACTTTTTACTTGCTATTCCATAGCCAATGCTTATAGATTTTTCCCTCCAATCTCCCCAGTAAATTCTTGCGAATTAGTAAACAAGGATAAAAATCAGACAAAACTAGTTAAAAAGCCTGTCTAATTGTAATTACATACTTATAAATGGAGTATAAGAAAAAAAGCAATTAAACTCTGCTAAAACAATATTTCCAAGATAATTGAGAAAACTCTACAAATCAAATGACATATGATGAATACTATAGACAAAAAAATGTTCTTCCTCTTGGTAACAGGCATTTCTGGATCTCTAATCAAGATGCAGATTCAAACTCAGTCTACCTAGTCAACCATATTACTGGGGGCGCTTACATGTGCTCTTTACTGTGCACTAATTAGCTCTGCAGTGTTTACAAATGTGCCAGTATCAGGGCTCAGTAAACTAATTAGCTCTGCTGCAAGGTAGTACTGTTGGAGAAAGACAGCTTACAGCCGAGTGCTTTACTTCACTAAAACACACATGTAGAGAGTGACCTGGGGCATAAATTGCACCTGGTCACCCTAGGCAGCCACCTGCCTGCTCCGCCCTAGTTCAAATTGCTCCTGTCCCAGGCACACATGCAGATACTGTACCCAGGAGCAGTTCACTCCAGTTCAAAGTTCTATGAAGTTTATCATATCACATTAATTGCATGTGTAGATGCACACACTGAAAGCTAAAAAGTTTACTCAGACTATGGCCTCGTCACAGAACTATACTAATAATTTATTATAAACTGTATTCCTCCAAAGGAAGATGGCCTATTAAATGTTATAGTATGTTGTGGCTGACGTCAGTAGTTATTAGTTTGGCAATTCAATTGTCAGAAGATAACCATAAATCAAAGTTAGCCTATGTTATGGATTTCAGATTTACAAGAAATTTAATTTTTTTATCCTGGGTCATTTTTACCCATTTTCCATATTCCTTTACAGAGTATAAACTTTACATCTTACCTCCTCTTTGTTTTTTAGAACTGCAAAAATCTATTATGATGGGAAACTGAATTACTTGTCTAGTGGCATCTTGAATAGGAAAAAGAACATTTTTTGCCTCAAATATTCAGTTTTGTTGAAAGCGTACTTGCGGAGATCAACAGTTATGCAGAAAATCCAAGTGGAGGTTGCACAAACAAGAGAAGGCAGAACATGGTCCATATGTCCCTTTTTTAGCAGGATGGGGCAGATGACACATCTGGGAGGTATTAGTGGAATTCAGTGCTTTGTATTTAATTTTTAGCTACTAATAGATGTGACAGAGCTGCTTTAGTGCTCCACCACTTTAAGGGCTGGAGCAGGCAGCCGCCAGGTAGCCATTTTCAAACTTAGGCTAGAAAGGCAGCAGTCCAGGTTGAGCATTCAAGGTGGCAACATTGGGCTGAGCTGCTCCTGGAATACCTTAGAGGTAAGTGTTAGGCTATAGGGAAGGAGGAGGCTTCATTGATCCTGGCCATGACCATAAAATGCACCCTACCAGGGAAGGGTGGCCTGGTGGAGCTACTTGTAGTGGGGTAGAGCTCCACAGAAATGCCAGGCCAGTTACCTCCCCAGTGAAAGGTGAGGAGGGGCACCTAAAAACCCCAGCCCCCACATCCCTGGTGGGTTCAATCTGCACAGAGGGAGCCCAGGCTTATAGGAGTCTGAAGGCAGGGCCCCGGTCAGGAGAAGGACCTGGAGCAGTGCCCAAGCTCTTTGCGAGTCCTGTGGTTACAGAGGACAGGCATGAGAGGGGGCCAGGCATGGCTGTAACCACCTGAGCCTCACAGGGTGCAATACTCCAGGGTAGAGGGCCAGGCAGAGCTATGGCCACCTGAGCCAGATGGGGTGTCTGTCATGGGATGGGGTCCCCAGGGATGGCCGTGGGACCCCTAGGGCCTCTTGACCATGCCAGTTTGGCCCAATGAGCACCCTCTTTCTCACCCGCCATGTCTTGTTGGTAATAATTATGAATGGGGAGGCTGCCCTCAAGTTAATGTTGGGCATGGTCCTCCTGGACCCTGTGAGTTCTTGGAACTCCTTTGGGTCCTGCACAAAATTGGCTGCCTCTCAAGGCACCTTCAGCCTTATGGGCTGGATGCGTGGCTCTAAACCGTCCCTTTACCACATCCCAAGCCTCACAGATGGCATTCACGTAGTGTCCCTTAGTTTGACTTGGCCTCTGGTCATCGCTGGGCTCTCCGCAGCCCTGTCTCTGTCTCTGTCTCTGTCTCTGTCTCTCCACCCCTCGGCGCTGGGCTCTCCGCAGCCCTGTCTCTCTCTCTCAGCACTAGGGTCTGCACACTCCAGCTCCTGCGCCCACACTGGTGCTGGGGTCCGTGCACGCCTGGATACTGCGCTCATACTGGCACTGGGGTCCCCACACTGTAATGGGTCCCCAATGAGGCCTCCTTCTTCCCCAATAGTCTCAACCCAATCCTCCGGTTTACAAACAGAAATCAAAATACAAGCCCCTGGGTTATAACATAATGCAGGCAGCTCAGGGTGTATGCTGTCCCTTTAAATGAATCATCCTTCCCCCAGCACAACATGCCTTGTAGGCCAGGGTCTGGTCAGCTCCTGAAGTCCCTTAACCTTACCAGAAGCAGGAGATGGGCCATCCAGCCTCTTCACTTAGCTTCCTCTAGGAGAGCTCCTTCCCACTTAGCTGTTGGCAGAGAACTGACCCCCTGGGCCCAGGCCTGGGGTTTATATATGCCCCAGGACCTGCCTCTTCTGGTCAGCTGACTGCCTGCAGGTGTGGGCTAAAGCCCTCATTCCTGCTGCTATGGTAACTTGCAGCTGAGGGGTTCCTGACTGACTGCTAGGGCTCTCTCCCTAGCAGTTTCAGCCCTTAAAGGAGCAGGCACCTTAGTGCCCTGCAACACCGGAAAACCCTAGTGAAGCCCCAGTAAGAAGGCAGTGTGGAGCCCCAGTGAGGGGGAACCGAGGGATAGGTGCCCAGTATGTTGGTCCAGGGGCCCAGTGTGTGTTTGTGTCTGTTTGTCTGTCTAAATGAAGAACCCAGTGCAAACCCCTGGAGAAAACATCTGGGACCTTGACTTCTTATGGGGAATGAGAGTCCCACATGAGACTCCAGAGCTCAGGTCCTAGAGCTACCTAGCTGGAGGAAACATCAGTAAGGCATGGGACACATGTAGGGATGCTAGGAGCATGTACTTATTGCCTAAGGTTATTTGGTCACAGAAAGGGCAGCCTCCTGCCTATTCAACATCACAACTATTTATCAACAAGGTGTGGCAGATGAACAAGGCGGGCGGTTTGCCCAGAGACAAGGGTGGGGCCATACTAGTACTGGGCCTGGAAGGTGCTCTTGTCACAATAGAGTTTACTTTTTCCACCAAATTATAAAAGTGAATATTCAAAATGAATGTCTTCATTCTACCTTCTACTGAGTTACCTACAAATTCAAGGCTAAAAATTAACTGGGAGTACCCTCAAAATACTTCAGAAACAAATTCTCACATGTAGCCATAGTAATAGCAATAGTAACACATTCCATTTTTCCTCTCCTAGGATTGAACCAAGTGTATAAGCATGTAACAGGGAAACACTGTCCCTGTTACGGGAACTTTCAGGAAAAGCACCCATTCTGTTGAGAACTTTCTGACCGACCCGTGGAACTGGGTGACATGTTGACTGTTCACCCAGCCAGGACTCTAAATACATGCTGTGGATTTTGGTGAAGTGTCCATTACTTGCTGACAGCGATGAGGTGCTCAATCAGATTGAGATAACAAAAGGCTTAATTGCCAATTAAGTCTTCCCGGCTGGCGGTGGACAACCAGAGATTGACAACACGCGGGTGGAAACATTGTATAAAGGACTGTTGGTGTGATCAGTGCTTCCCCAGAAGAGGAAGAGGAGCCGAGGCTTTAGGCGTCAGAGACAGAAAGCAGCCTGCGCAGAGGCACAGGTGATGAGAGATTCTCCAAGAATTTCTTGTTGAAGCAGTGAGTGTCGGGCATCCAGCCCATTGGAAGATGAATTGCTGATTCAGTTGGACAATTGCAGCTCCGTCTGGATCCGTGACAAGAACTTTGTTGCTGTGAATTGACAAGCAGGGTGGGCTTTCCCCCTTCCCAGCCTGAAAACAGCTCCAGGCTCACAGGCAGGCAGACAGAAGTTATGGAAGATGTTCTGTTTTGAAAAGTCTTCATCTAACCCCTCATGCAATGAGGGTTGAGATTTTCACCCAATTGACCATTTTTCAAGCTGTCTGCAGTCATGCACTTGTGTTTGGTCCACTACAGACCCCTTTCTGTGGCCAAATCAGGCACATATTGTCATTTCTGTCTGCACCAATTGTCACTTCTGTCTGCACTGATGATTTCTGGGCCCCAGGCCATTGCCAAATTAGGGGGCTCTGCATGGCCATAAGCCAACCTAAGGACTCTGTGGGACCCCTGAGGAAACCCCAATGCAAGTGTAAGCAGGGGTTACTTTTTCCCTGAATTAAAGCTTGTTAGGGAGGTATATAAATGTGGTATATAAAGGTAAGCCTAGAGGGAAAGCAAGGTGTTTGATACAAAGAACCAAGGAGAGAGATCTGCAATGAAGCAGGCAATTCAGCTGTTTATGGGCTTACTTGATGAGGACTCAAGAGGGACACCAGGTCTTGCAAGCTGTTAAACCAGAGCCTGACACAGCAAGAGTGAACATGCATGAACAAGGGGAAGAAAGAAATCAGGGTTTTCTCAGTAGGAAGTGGGGGCCAGACTGGCAATCTCCATCTAAAGGCAGTTTCCCAAATCCATCATTCTCAACATCACAGCTTGGCAGGAAAGGTGGAAGAGTGTACTACGATGCTAGAGAGAGAGTGGCAAACCACTAAGGACCCCAGTCAGCCTGAAGGACTCCAAGGCTTGCTATACAAGCTATCAATTTTATTTTATTTTTTGCTGGCATTTTAAATATCAAGACAGTCCTTGTGCTTCAGGCTAAGTTGTATAATGCAAGCTCATCTAAAAAACTCTTTAACACTGCCATAATTTCAATACTATTAACAGTTTTTTTTATAGGGACAATAAATGTAAATTTATGACAGACTGCATTATGATCACTTTTAAAAGTTTAAACTTTACAATGGTTCATCAAATGGAGAAATATTGTTTTTACCTGATAAATAACTCTTGTACATCAATTCATATCAAAGCCAAGCTGCCAAATATTACTGCACAAGAAATATTGTATAAGATCTCCTGTACACTAAGTAAAAAGTCTCCCTCTGCATATTGTTTTCACCTCACACTTTATTACCAGTTCTCAAATATGAAATTTAATAAAATCTTTTGACATCCTTCATTAAATATTTCATAACTAAATCTTAACTCTCCTCACTACCTAAGATTCAAATCTTGTTATAACTTATCAGATTTCAGCATGACTACTGGTACAAGTACTACTCCTGCTACAGTCTGTCTTGATTAAATCCAGAGTTGATACTTCAGTACAGTAGAGTCCTTTGTGCAGCATCTAATAAAAGTGTTCATTATGAAAAGTACGTAGCTGTCACTGTGGCAACAATTAACTGACATCCTAAGGGAAGATAGTTGACGTAGATATCACAGGTGAAAAGCCTGACCCCAGCATTCTTATCGGGAATAGTGGCTTCTTTTCTACCCGATACCTTTTAATATTTCATATACTCAAGGTAAATAATACTGGGTAGCTGAGATAATGAAGAGCTACCTGGGAACCTCTTTTGCGGCCAGATGATGCCAAGATCATAAAAGAGCTAAAGCATACATACCAGGTCTGGGCCATTACTTACACTTTAATTTTTTAGGATGGGAAGTGTTTGTATATTTGGTAAGAGTAGTATGAGTTTACTTATGTAATAACATTGAAATTCTTTAATAAGAACCCATGATGACTACGTTTTCTGGATCTTTCCAAGTTAGGATTATATTTTCTAATTTATGAGAGATTAGTTTGAGAATGTAATAGTTTATATTGCATGGCTGCCATTACACTTCTTCACTTACAAGATTTTCTATATTCAGGGTTTGGTAACCCTTAAGCATAAATGTAATTTAGTAAAATTTTAGGTTGGAAGGAAGTAGACAGTCCCTTGACAGGGAGCCTATCCTACTTTCCCCCCCTTAGATTGTTTATTTTCCTTAAATCCAGTTTGAATACAAAAGGCATTCTAAAGGAAAGGAAACTATTACTGCTGTACATAAAGAGAGAATAATAATGAGCTCTATTAAAGAATGGATCTCATTGGATCGAAGAATGGAAGCAGTTATCAAGCTACATTTTCAGAGAATAATCATCTAACAAAATAAATACATGGACATACGATACTGTCTTTTTTTAAAAATCTATTCCAATCAGAATTTCTCGAAAGATAGGTTGCTTTTATAACAGGATGAAAACAAAAGTAACATAACAACATTTAAAATACTGTGGCATCTCAGAGATTGAACAGAAATAACGTATTTTCAGACTAAAGTTTAGCATATAAAAAAGCCATAATTCCATTATTTCAGAAAGACTCAAATGAAAACACTTAGCCTTGCAAATCAAGAGAAGTAAAATAGTCTTCTGCCAGATTTACTGTTTTTCTTACCTCAATTTTGGACAGCCCTAAGGCTACTACAGCAACTCGAACACTGCTGCTCTCCAGTGTCCCAGTGACCTTTCTGCGCTCGTACTCAAGAGCTGACATCTGCTGCTGTGCTGCAATGGCCAGAGCCCTCTCTCTAGCTTCATTAATCAACGGGATCTTCAGCTTTTCCTCAAGAATGTCAGTGAGACCACATTTCAAGCACAGAACTGGCTGGACCCCACTGTGACCTGCAACAAGCAAAGCCGTCTGTTAGCTCCTATTAAAAGTGCATTCTGTTTTATTCCAATATTGCAGAAAATGAGCAAGTATATTATATTAAATTCTGAAAGAATATAATATTCTCAGAATTGAATGTGATATTCTAATACATAATTCTTTCAGAATTCAGGACAGCAGCTAAATACTGCACTTAGGACTATTTTATAGGACTAAGCATTGGAGTCCAAGTCAAAAGTTGTTGCTCACAATAAAAAAATCAAAAAGATTGACTTTATTTTTTTTATTTAGGGGAGGAATGGTTATCAGCAATCTACTAAGGATGTAATATTACACTGATTGAAGCAGTATCTGTGCAGCTTCCACATTAAAAAAATCTATACCATCTCTGTTTCTACAATCTTCATCCTATTTATTTGCAGGTATTATGGTAAGAAGTCTAGTGAAAGATTCTGGTGTGAAGGCGGCAGAATGTGTGATGTGTCCAACACTATCTACCCCACACACCAAATGTTTCAAAATCTTGAAGCTGTGAGTTTCACTGTTCCAGTGGAACACATCTGTGGGTGATTTCGTATCAGGAAACCTCTTGGTGCCACAATATGACCTTTATGAGATGGACACATCTTGGGGAGTTTACCTAAGTAATTAAGAGGTTGCAGAAATGTTTTTTTGGGTCATTTGATAGATGAGGAGCAAAAACACGGCAAGATTAAGTAACTTATCCGGTGTCATAGAATGTCTCTGTGCTGGAGCTAGAAATGGAACCCAGATCTCTGGCACTTTCGTACACAGTGCCTGGGCTCCCCTGGAGCGTTTTCAGCATGGTTAGTATGTGCCTCACTTTCCCTCCCCTGGGTAGGCTACCACAAGGGTTCAAACCAGATTCTGTCAAGAGAATTAACAGTGGAGGACAGAATCAGTTCTTTTTGGATTACTTTAAGGTGTAGAAGAATACTGTTGGAGAAAGTGAACAACCAGATATAATCTATATTACAGCTGCTGCTTGGACTGCAGTCTAGCTTTAAAGTAGCTAGGTCAGGTACTGAAAGCAGTATAGTCAAAGTTCAGTACAGACTGCAAAACTCACCCAAGAAACTGGTTAAGTAGTAAGATGGTTAGCTCATGCTGGAGTTCCACACTACCACAGCTAGACTGTTACCAGAACCCATACTAGCTACCTAACCCATGCACATCAAGCTCAGATACATCTACACTATACTGTGGTCAATGTTCATGTAGCCTTAAAACGAAGAATTGAGGACAGCCGTGTAATCCCCACAAAGCACATCACATAGCCATCTATCAAAGAACCCTTTTTAAAAGTGATTTAGCACTTGGTTCTTGTGAAATTGTACTTCAAATTTCAGCCTGATGTTGTTTAAAACGGCTGAGGTATAAACTCTTCAAAAGCACAATTCTGAATAGAATAACTCATCAGTTATTGATAGAGTTGGCACTGGCACCAGGCAGAAATGCCAGTGAAAGCCTAGAGCATGCTAAGTTTTCCATATTGCTACTATCACAATGGCAATCTTTTTCTGTGCCTCATCACTCTGCTGATTGGACAATTCAGCTTTCAAAGAGCTACAATGGTCCTAAATCACAAAACAGAGACTAAGGTTACCTAAAAAGAAGATAGTAATTGATACAGTGACTTCTGGCTTTCCCATTATTTTCCCCTTTAACTTCAACTTTTACTTCCTGTAACAATGATTCTAAATGAATCATAGTTAGAATTCAAATGAACAAAAGGGCAAATCCTGTAGTTAACTGCCCAGAGGAAATACAAAGTCTGCACATCACCCATGCAAGCCATCAAATGCATGTAATTCAGTACATCTTGAATTTCCTAGGACTGAATCTAAAGGAGGCGATGATTAACACACTTCTGAAAGAGATACTACAGGGAAAGATACTTTTGGATGGAAGTAGAGTTCACAGCCCAAGCTTTTGCTTTCTCCAGTGTTTAGGTTGTTAACAGATAGCATTCACTCCAAAAAGAGAGGAATCTGGAAAATATTAATTGAACAACGCTGGCCAGATTGTTTTCCAAAACTGGCGTTGGCTTCTGAGCTAGAACCCAAATTAAAGGAGTAATAAAGCGTAAATATATGTAAAATAAACAAACACAAGCTCCAACAGAAACCTTGTTATTTCTGAAACATCAAGCTCATGCTAGTTTGGCTTTGGCTGAATGCAGATCACGACAGGTGCTGAGTTATCTGCCAGACTATAATATGGGCGCATAAAGAAGTTCAAGCATTGCACATGTGGAAACATTCTAAGACAAGAGAGGAAGACTTGTACTGGCTCAAGCAGTGGTTCAGCATCTGAAAAGAACCTATGAAATATATATGGGAACACTGAAAGAAAATTCTAATTTCCTTGCAAGATAAGATCCATGTGAAGTAGGTTTCAAGCAGCCCCAAATGTGAAAAGAACTTTCTGGATCAGCATTAAAAATGATAATCCTATCTGACAAAAGAGAAGCAAATTTCCTCTTTTCTTTCTTCTAATCCCTTCTTGTTGTCATGTAGTTTATCTTTCCTACTGTATTCAAGGCAGACAAGCTTCTTTGGGTAAATGTGATATCTTTTATTAGACCAACTCAAATAGTTGGAAAAAAATTCTTCTTTGCAAGCTTTCGGGCACAAACACCCTTTATCAGGCTGAGGAAATATCTCCAGTTGGTCTGAAGAGCATAAACCAATTGCAGACATGTCCACAGCCTGGCAAAGGGTGTTTGTACCCGAAAGCTTCAAAAGATTTTTTTCCAACTATTTGAGCTGGTCTAATAAAAGATATCAGATTTACCCAAAGAACCTTGCCTGCCTATGTTCTAAACCAACACCGCTACAAACTCTACCTACTGTATTTATTGTCGTTTTACCCCCTAAGTGCTAGTGAACTTAATGCATTATAAAAGGGCAATGATTTCTCCCATTTCATTTTTCTCCTTCATTTACTCCACCTTCTGAGGTACTGCTATTGCACAGAACATTTGGACTATCCATTGGAAGCAAGCCTGAAGGCAAAGGTACGCCACCTGTTCCCTCCACCAGGTACACAAATTCTCCAATCTGAAACACAGGAACATATGCATTCCAATTCAGAAAGCAATTCATGCAGAACAAATTATAAAACTTTAGAAGACAAACATGAGAATGACATTGATAGTAACACTGAAAATCTGACTCCTGAAAGCTTCATATATTTTGAAGATTTTTTTTTAAATTGCTATTAATTAGAAGAAAGTGAACCTACTACAATATAAACATGATAATAAAGTAGCACTGATTAAGGGGATTAAACTCAATAAAGCAACATGTTTTAGAATCAAGGCTTCTAAAATTCAGCCCTTTTTAACCCATATCACTAGTTAATATTTTGAGCAATGATGCCATGAGCCACAAGAGAGACAACTGACAAAAAAGGTACATTCTGATAATGCATAGCCATCACTTTTACGGTCTATAATCTATTTTAAGCATTTAGATTTTTAATAGCCTGCACAGTTCATATTCATGGATGAAGCAGTTTAAGTTAAATGAAAGTACAGATACATATTTAAAACTACATTTCCACTATTTGCAAATTTCAGAGAGTTTTAAAAGCAGTTCAGCTGTTTGGTAAAATTGTTCATGTTAAATTTGACAATGAAACATTTTCGTTAAGTAATTAATAAGTTTTAGGGGGAAAGGACAGGAGTTAGAGTGGGCTAGAAATGGCTGATTCCACTTTAATGTTACTGAACATTTCTTCCTCACTTCTGTTTAAATCTGAACTTTCACAAGCAGACCAAATAAAGTTAACTAACAAATCTTATTTCTAGAGCTGTGCCAAAGTAACAGATAACAACACTGCATAAGCAGTAACATCATGTAGAAAAAGACAGGATAATAATTTTTGCCAAAATGAAGGACAAATTAGCAGATGAACAACCATATTTCAAACTGCTGAAATGATAAATGAGGTGTAAATACACCATACAGGTATTTTAAAAGGGCTGGAGTACTGTATATAGTGTCTTATACTGTGGGGACTGAGGGCACCTACACATGTGACAGATGCCTGCTCCGACAGGTGCTAATTAGCATGTGCCAGGGCAGACTCAATTAATGGAGTCTGCTGGAGTGTCATAATTAGCATGCGTCTCATGCTAATTAAAGCACCCGCAGCGTCTCATGTATTCAGCATCACACACTTGAAAACGGTGCTTGGGGCACTTTAACTAAAGCTCTTTTGATGAGCTTTAGTTAAAGCACCCTCACTGCCATTTTGAAGTGCAGGGATGCTGAACACGAGACACTGCAGGTACTTTAATTAGACTGAGTCTTGAAAACTGCTCCAATTAAAGTGCCCACCCCCCACCCAGAAGCATGTCTAAAGATGCCCCAAATGCATAAGACAATACTACTCAATTGGTGCAATGTTATACTTCCTAGCAATAGCCAGTTTGATGTTGCCAATGGAAACTTCTCTGAAAAGCACACAATCCTATTTCAGATTTTTAGTTTTGGAGGCATTTCTGTCAAAATTACTCAAGACTCCTACCCCACAGAAATGCATTTCCACTGCTTCCGTGTCTTGCCCTTACGTGCCATCACCTGCCTTTTTGGGCTGTGCTGCCTGCTACTGGCCCTTCACCCCAGTGAAGACAGTAAACAGCCATCTTAGGATCATAGGAAAGTAGGGCTGGAAGGGACCTCACAAGGTCCTCTTGTTCATCTCCTTGCTCAAGGAAGGAGCAGCCCTACCTAAATCATCCCAGACCAGTGTCTGTCTAATCTGATCTTGAAAACTTCCAAGGATGGAGATTCAGTAGTGCAAGCTACAATTTGGTGGGTTTTTGGTTGTAGCCATGTTGATCTAAGGACTTAGGCAGGAAAGGTTCTTTGACTAGATGTGATATTTTTTATTAGACCAACTGAGTAGTTGGAAAAGGTTCTTTGCAAGCTTTTGGACGCAGTCACCCTTTTTCAGGCAGAAGGAATCCCTGCTGGTCTGAGACTCCAAGGAATGAGAGAAGTTAAAAGTGTGACAGGATGTCAGTGAAAATATAAATAGATAGAAATTAGACAAACAAAAGGTAAAACAGGGAAGGGAGAGGGAAGAAAGCAGGGGGGAAAGGCCAAAGGGAAACACTACGGTGATAATAATACAAGCTAAAAAAGAGAGGCTCTCAATGAAAAAGGAAATAGTTGGAAATCAGGAAGACAAAATGCAGAAAAGGAGGGGAGGGGAAAAAAGATGGAAGAAAAAGAAGAATGTAAGAGGTCAGGTCAGACAGGTACCTGGTGAATCAGATGTCAGGCAGGTTATGATGTGTCATAAATCCAATGTCTATATTGAGTCCACGATTGGATATAGTTAGATATCCTTGTCCTTGCTAACCTCATCACCAGAAGCAAACTCCCTAGGACCCAAACCACACCCAATGGATCCAGACCATGCCAAACCTACGAACACATCAACACCACCCCAGAATAACTACACTGCACAACCAAACAATCACCGTTCCTGGATCTTACACCTGCATCTCCAGAAATGTTATATATTTCATCCAGCGCACCAAATGCCCTGATGGAAAATATGTAGGAGAAACCAAACAACATCTGTGCACCAGAATGAACGCAGAACGAAAATCTATCAAAGACAAGAATACCCATCTATTTGTGGGGGCATATTTCTCACAAGCCAATCACTCCCTATCTGATCTCTCAAGTTCTAATCCTCAAAGGAAACTTACAAAACATTGTTCATAGACGAGCCTACAAATTTCACTTAATAAATCTACTAGATACAAAAAGTCATGGACTCAAAATAGACATTGGATTTATGACACATTATAACCTGCCTGACATCCGATTCACCAGGTACCTGCCCTCTTACATTCTTCTTTTTCCTCCACCTTTTCCCCCTTTCCCTCCCTCCCCTTCTTTTCTGCCTTTTGTCTTCCTGATTTCCAACTATTTCTTTTTTCATTGAGAGTCTCACTTTCTTACCTTGTATTATTATCACTGTAGCGTTTCCCTTTGGCTTTTTTCTCCCCTGCTTTCTTCCCCCTCCCTTCCCCATTTTACTTTTTTGTTTTTCTAATTTCTACCTATTTATATTTTCACTGACATCCTGTCACACTTTTAGCTTCTCTCATTCCTTGGAGTCTCAGACCAGCAGGGATTCCCTCTGCCTGAAAAAGGGTGACTGCGCCCAAAAGCTTGCAAAGAACCTTTTCCAACTACTCAGTTGGTTTAATAAAAGATATCACATCTACTCAAAGCTAGTTTGGCGCATATATGCTTACAAATAACTTTGTCTCCTTATTCTCAGAAGTTGGAAAGTGTGCATATGTAGGCAAGGGAGACGGAGGGACAGACTACTTCTGTAGTACAGTTTGTTCATCTTCCTGCTGATGAAAGATTCTGCTACTAAACTAAATTAAGCATGCTCATCATTTTACTTTTACTTAAACCAATGGGAGATTTTTCACTCTACAGCTAAAAACATTGTGCTTTCTGGCACAGTGAAAGAATTATTCAACTTCAATGGCATTTATACGGCTTTCCTTGGTTCAAGTGTTCAAATAAATCTTTTTTGGGTATAATAAAACCCGAAGAAAAACTTATCGGCCACCCACAAACTAGCAGCCACCCATGGGAACCATTCTAAACAAGAATTATTGCTGTTTGACACACTGTTTTGACTTCACAAGGATCCTTAACATGCTTCTAACATACACAGCTAATTTCATAAAAGTCCTGGTTGCTAAAACGCCATTCTACTATCATTTACTTTTTCCCTCTGCCATGGTTGGGATTGATATACATCAGTATAAAAACTTGGTTTGGGAAAAAGCTCTCTGGATTTTTTGATCTCCTGAGCCTGTAAGTCCTATTTTTCCTCTTTGTTCACATTTTTTATGAGGTTGTAGAATGGGAAAGGAGAAAATTGTTTATGATGTTTAGGGAATTGTATGACTATTCATAACTTATCAGTGCCTATTATTGCAGGCTTAGCATTTTTTAGACATTTTTGTATATCATTTCTATGTTGGTTTGTTTTTTGTTTCAAGGAAAGCAAACTGAAAAACTGCAAGTTTCATCATGTTGAACAATACAGACAACCATAAGATTGACAAAAGAGTAGCATTAGAAGCAAAAAGACGGGTATTCATTCCTAGTTCTAGATGGGTGTATATTCTGCAGCTAAGCCAAGCACATAGATCTGGCATAGCTAAAGCTTTCAGTTATAAAGCTGTTGCCCCACAACACAATGATACTGCAACACTTTATAGATTTAGTCAGGGGCAGGGGAGTGGAACGACTACTGGAAAAATTCTGGGTTAAAATTTAACTGAGAAATGTGCTTACAATCGAATGTCATGCAGGATGTCTACCTCAAACTATAGTGCTATACTTTCTTTAAGTGTCAGTGGGAGGATATCAACAGAAGCAGTAGCAGATATCAATTCATTGCCTATTGTAGCTAAAAATAATTTCGTGTCTAAAGTGGTTTAGTGGTTCTCAACTTTTTTTTTTTTTTTTTTTTTTTTT